TCTTGTTCTAACTTTCACATCCTGTGTGATTTTGGCCACTGGCAGAAACATAAAACAGCAGGTATTTAGTAAGGAAGATGAGGCAGTAGCACAGAGATATTGTACTGCTCGAAGAACAACACGTTGTGCACATAAACCAGGGAAGTCATACAAGAAGTAAACTTCCCCTGAGCACAGGAGGTAATGGAAATTTAATTTTAGCCCCCAGTCCACAATGCTCTCTAGATTGGGGCACATACAGTTTAAGGTAGTGTAGTGGAATTGCCTCTTATGACTTTATGCTCTGAGCACCTGGTCAGGAATCTTAAATGGGCCTTCCTAGAGAAGTTTGAGTAAAAGGAAGAAACAAGGGGGGGGAGGTAGGAGCAGAAATAATAAATGGAGAGAGGGAGCTATCCTGATGGGAAGTCAATCCTCTTCAAGGCACTTATTTGTCTTCAGGAGTAGTAAGGGTTGTTGATTGGGGTTTGTTGGGTGGGTTTTGCCTGATCACAGTTCCATCCATCTCTGTAAAAAGTTTTTTCAAAATGCAAAGCATACGTCAAAGCTGCAAAATGCAATGCAATACAATACATTCCTCCTGATTTTAGGATCCTTTAGAAGAATTCCCGCTTAAAGAATACTTGGGGGCTGTTCAGGAAGCTTACTCGAGAGTAAGTCCCCACTAGCTTACTTCCCTGTCGCACAGTTTTAATAGCCCCAGATTGCATAGTCGCTGCTTGGTGGCGGCGGTGGGGGGTGGGCTTCCCTGTGCCGGCCAACCAGGTTGTGGTAGAAAGAACTCCTAGCCCTGAGGCGGAATACAAAAAGCAGGAAGAACGGCTAGGGCAGACGATGTAAGGCGCTGGGTCCATACAGAGGGGAGTCGGTTTAAAGCTCGGGAAAGCGGAGGTGTGGCAAAGAGATCGAGTCGCTCGGACGGCACACTGGTAAGGAGAGGTGTGTGTGCACACGCGGGTGTAAAGACGTGCGGGGCTGCCAGAAAAAAAAGGTGGGGGAGAAACTAGAGGGGAAACGGGATCAACGCCACTCGTCCTAGATGGACTGCGATCCTGGTAAGGGAGGGCGCTGGGCTAGGGTAGGGGGCAAGACGGCGCGGGTGGGAAGGCACTGGGGTGCGAGAGGAGGGTCCCGGCCGAGCAGAGGGGGAGGGCCTTGGGCAGTGGCGAAGACGACGGGCCCAGGGGAAGGGAAGCCGGGCTCGATCGTCGCCGAGACGGCCCACAGGGGGGCCGGACTGAGCAGGGCGGCGCGGCGTGGGCTTTCTGCTTGTGCTGCCGACGCGAGGTGGGACTCGCGCGGGCCTGGCCGGCGATCGCGGCCTTCGAAGCTCGAGCAACTTCTAGGGCAGGCGCTGCGAGCCCGGACAGACGGGCGGTGAAGGAGAGCGTGGCCGCCAAGCAGGCAGGCGACGGACGCTGCCGGCCGGCTGAGGGTCAAAGCCAGCAACCGATCCTCCGGCCGAGCTGGGGCGCCTCCCTCCGGCCGCATCCCCGAGAGGAGCCGAGCAGGCGACGGAAGGAGGTAGGCAGGCCAGCCGCTCCCCGGGGCGCGCCGGTGCTGATCACGGCTTGCGCCGCCCAGGGAGCGAGCGAGCGAGCGAGCGAGCGGGAGACAGAGAGACTCGAACGCCGCGTTGCGCTGCGACCCCGAGGGGGCGCCCACCCAGCGCAGGTGCGGAGCCTGGAACGCGCGCAGTATCAGCTCGGGCTGATCCAGGTACCCCCGGCACGGGCACCCTGCTTCTTCCCATCCGCGTGCTGCAGCCCTCCCGAGTCGCTTGCGGGCTGTCTCCGTCGGTGCAGCCACCGGACAGCACCGCTCCGGTCTTCGCCTCTCTTTCCCCGCTGCGCAGAGAGGCGCGCTCGCCAATCTAGGCACCGCGGAGCCCTCGGCTGATCCGCCGCTTGACCCTCTTGGGCTCCGTGCGCACTAGGGGCTTCCACTTCCCCCTCCCTTAACGCCACGCGGGTTCCTTGCGCCCCCTTTATCTTTTCAGGCCCCCGCTTGATTACCCAAAATTGTAGATCTCTCCCCAGAAAACACCTAACTCCCCCCCCCCCACCGCAATGTTTGATGTACCCCGACCCCTCCTCTTTTCTCTCTCCAGTCCCGTGACCTCATCGGTGTGGACAGCTAACAGTGCATATTTTTGGGATGGGTGCCCAGTACCACCCGAGGACTTGGTTTTGTGCGTGTGAATGGGTAACCCCGGGGGGTGGAAAGAGGGGAGGCGAGCAAGAGCCTAGGCGCAGCAGCAGCTGCCGCCTCCTCCCCTTCGCCCCTTCTTATCTCTCCCTCCCCTCGGGTGGAGGACGGTCCCCGCCCTCGCCCCCCGCCCTCGCCCAGCCTCTCCCCCTCCCCGGGCAGGGCGCGAGGCCCCTCCCCCTCTCAACCCCCCCAACACTCCACCCCCCCTTCTTTCCCTCTCCGGACTCGGCTGGCTCGGAGCAAACCGCCCCTCCCGCACGGGCAGGGCTCGCCGCGGTGCAGCCTGGGAGGCGTAGTCCGCAGGGCAGGGCCCGGCTCGGGGTGGGCGTGGGGGCGGCCGGACGACCGTACTACACTTCCCGGCAGGCCCCGCAGCAAGCAGCAGTCGGCGGCGGCTCGCTCTCGTCCTCACACTCGGGCTGCCGCTGCCAGTGCCGCCACCGCCGCTGTTCCTTGCGCTGCGCTGCTGATCGGTGGAGCCGCGCTGGCCGGCCCTTGTGCTCCTCCGGCTCCGCTTGGCTGGATTCCCTCGGGATCGAATGCCCCTTGTACCCCGGCGGGAGCCCGCCTTGGGAGCAGGTGCGTGTGGACGGTCCCCGGCGGTTCCCTTTCCCGGGCCCGCTTCTCCTCTCCCCCCCTCCCCGCCGCCTCCGTCGCCATCGGGGAGGGAAGGGGGGGCGGCGTGTGAGTGAGGTTTCCATGGAAACGGGGAGCGGGCCTTGGACCGCGGCCCTTTTCTCTCCCTTCCTGACCCCCCCCTCCCGTCCTCCCTTCGCGGTAAGGTCCCGTCCAGGACAGGATGGTGACAGCAGGGCCGCTTCTGCTCCGGCCCCGACGGCGAGGGAGGAAGCGATCGTCGCTTCAGGCTAGCAGGCAGATTATTTCACTTTCTGTTCTCAGGAAGGGGTGCTTGGGCTTACCCCCACTACTTCGACCACCGCCACCCTCCTCTTCCTCACTCTTTCCATTTCTCCTCTGCTTCCATCGACGGGGCGGACAGAGGGGGTCGACACCCTTTTCGCTCTGGCGAATTCGGTGGCGGATACGGTGGTCTGCGCGAGTCTCTGCGCATCCCGAGCGTGCGGTGAGACTTCGGCATGGGGAGCCTGAGCTGCACCACCCCGTCTAAATTCTGGGCTTAATTTTTTGAGCGAGGAGGGGGAATAATTCAGCGGCCACCCACTCCGGGCGCACGTTGCGGGGCGATCCGCCGATAGAAGAGACCTGATAATGGCATATACACTTCTGAATGGCAGAGACTCAAGCTTGGTTGGTCCCTCCCGTCTGCTTCCTTCCAGGCGTCTTGGGTTGCTGTTTTCCGCCGCCGCCGCCTCCCTCTTTCTTTCCCCTACCCCGCTCCCTCCCTCCAACAAGAGACAAGGGCGATGCCCGTGACGGTCCCGAAGGGACGGGCAGCCTAGATCGTGGTGCGCGGGGGGAAAGGAGAGGAGGAACGCGGCGCGGCGGCGAGCTAAACTCGGAAGGAGTAACCAAGTGTTAGACGGTCGGGAGGCAGAGATGGGCTGCTGAAGGCAGAACGGAGGCGACCCGTTCTCCCGGAGGTGGATTTCTCTGAGTCTCGGTAGAGAGTGTGTCCGCAGGAAGGAAAGAGAGCATAAGCTTGTTTTCAGAAAGAGGGGGACAACTTTTGCCCTATTTGGAAGAGTGGGAAGTATTGGTTGGCATCTTTGCAGTGTAACTGGCCAGCCCGTTTGGAATGGGCCTGCCCTTTAAAATCCAATGTCTCGGTGGGAGGGTAGCTTGAAAATGCTTGCAAAGCACAAGAGATGTCCGTGTGTCTGTGTTGGTGAGGAAGGTAGAGTTAGGGCTTTGCATGCTATCCCAGTTTGCCTTGTCCAGGTAACACATGAGCAACACCCCCCCCCATCCAATTTGTTGTAATCAGGGCTCTGCCTCCAGGTTGGCCCCACAAATGGCAGCCCCCCCCGGAGCTAGTCGTTGTGCTCGTGTAGTTCTCAGCCTGCCAAGAAAATTGGAGCCTGGCAGTGGCAGCGGGAAGAGCGAAGGGATGGGACTTTTTTTGAAGCTGAAATGGGGATGGAGGGTGGTTTGCGGGGTGGGGGTGGGAAGATGTGCTGCAGGCATCGCGTCATCGGCTGGACAATGTGTGTGTGCTTGGGGTCTGGAGGAGGCTTTTCCCGGTCTTGGTAGCCTGACTTGTGTTTTTTAGAAACGTGATGTTAATCTGCAGCTGCGACAGGTTTCCACGGTGAGGCTTCCCTTGCCAGGCTGCAGTGAGCAAGCGAGTGATGGTTCGTTCTCTCTGTGCCATTGCACAGTGTGAGTAAGAGAGAGGCTTTACCTGGAGACGGTTGGAAAGTTTGCAAGTGCCTGGCTTCGGTGGAGATGCATTATTGTCTTTGCATGCTTAGGAGTGCATTGTCCTGGCCGCGCACGCCTAAGAAAAGGGAATGAGCAGGTGTGCAGGCAAAGATTGCTTTGGCAGTCATTCTGTATACATACTCGCAAGCAGAGTGTGAGGGAGAAGAGCTGGTTTTAAATGGGGACTTCCACTCTGATCCCGCGCTCCAAATGCATGCCTTCTATTGAAGCCAGTTGGAAGTGGTTGCTGACACTACTGTGATAAGGCCTTCCACTGGGTATAGTGGTGGTTTGTTTCTAAAAGTAGTGCCATACTTCAAGCCACTGTAGGCCTAGAAACTTTGTTCCTTCAACCTGGATGTGTAGAATGGGAGCTGTGTTCTCTCTCACTTCATGAGAAAGAGGCACTCTGTACACTCTCAGAAGTCTTGTGTGCTTAATTGCAGGTTGCCAGTGCGGACTCCTTGCTTCACTTAAGTTCTCAACGTCAAGATTTCCAGGTCGTTATAAGGTGCAGCAAAAGTAAATAGGGTAACTTTATCTTTTCCATATTGCTAGAGGTTTGGCAACTTTTGCAAGCTGAATTTATTTCCTACATAATGGTTGCTGTTTTTCATGGGGTGGGGGCTGGAAAGTATATTTAAAAAGAAAAATGTCATATATGGAATTTGATTCAGGAGCATACTTGTTTATGTACTATGTGTCCGTCAAAGACTAATTTAAAGAGATTGCAGGTTGGGAATAAACCTCTTTCTTCATCTGGAGGGCTGACCTGAAAACACAAGAGCTATAAGAAATGTTGTTAATCCGTCTGGCCTTTAACTGTTGACGGAGCTCATTTCCTTTTGGCCTTTGTCTCTGCAAGCACCAGCAGAGATGTCAATTTTGACTTTTTGTGGTAGCCCCTGAAGCTCTCAAAGCTGTACAAGCCGTTGGCTTTATAACATACAGTATATATGTATGTTGTAAATTTTGCCCTGATTCTTAGTAAATATGTTCCAACATCATCTAAAGCTTTATTCAGACATTGGTTTTTCCTCTGTGGCAGAGGTGGGAAGCCTGTGGCCCACCAGAACATACTGGACTACAACTCCCATCATCCCTGACCATTGCCTGTGTTGGCTGGGGCTGATGGGAGCTAGAGTTCAACAACTTCTGGAGAGCCATAGGTTCTCCATTTTCTGCTCTGTAGTCTTTTGGGATGGAGGAGGAATTCAATCAGTCCGTTTTTTCGTTTTTTGTTTTGCAATGTATTGACCCAGTTCAACAGTCCTAAACCTGTCTGTGGATTGGAACACAAGTCCTCATTAGAGAATGCTCTTAACTGGATTTTGCAATGAAGTTTTAGTGCGCAAAAAGAGCACAGACAAGTGTTGTTGATGGTTAAAGCACATGATCACTGCAGATGGTGACAGCAGTCACGAAATTAAAAGACGCCTGCTCCTTGGGAGAAAGGCGATGGCAAATCTAGACAACATCTTAAAAAGTAGAGACATCACCTTACCAACAAAGGTCCGTATAGTTAAAGCCATGGTTTTCCCAGTAGTGATGTATGGAAGTGAGAGCTGGACCATAAAGAAGGCTGATCGCCAAAGAAGTGATGCTTTTGAATTATGGTGCTGGAGGAGACTCTTGAGAGTCCCATGGACTGCAAGAAGATCAAACGCATCCATTCTTAAGGAAATCAGACCTGAGTGCTCACTGGAAGGACAGATCGTGAAGTTGAGGCTCCAATACTTTGGCCATCTCATGAGAAGAGAAGACTCCCTGGAAAAGACCCTGATGTTGGGAAAGATGGAGGGCACAAGGAAAAGGGGACGACAGAGGATGAGATGGTTGGACAGTGTTCTCGAAGCTACAAACATGAGCCTGACCAAACTGCGGGAGGCGGTGGAAGACAGGAGTGCCTGGCGTGCTCTGGTCCATGGGGTCACGAAGAGTCGGACACGACTAAACGACTAAACAACAAAGCACATGAAAAATGTATCTTTTGTGGAAAATACATTGGAAAGCATTGAAAAATACATATTTTGGGGCAGTGCATATAATTTAAGTACAAGTTTTTCATGCTATCTTTAAAAAAGAATTGCACAAAATAGGACAGAACAGACCTATGATTGGGTGCCAGTGGAAAGGAAAGGGACAGACTTGGGCAGATCTGTCCATTACTAATGGTCATTTTTCTGAGGCAAGTTTAATATAAGGGCTTTGAGACTGAATTTAGGAAATCTCTAGTTCAAATTCTGTTCTTTCGTGAACGAGGTTCTGTCCCTTAGGAAAACTGCTGTTTGCTTTTCTACCCATCCTGGATCATAAAATTGACCTAACTTACAGGATTGTTGTATGAGTTATTGAAATAATGTATCTTCAGTGCTTTGAGCCTCTTAAAGCACAAACCTGAATTATTATTAATGTTCCTATCCTGTCCATTGCCACCTATGGCAACCAGCGATTTGTGCTTTCTGGATCATTCAGTGTAAAATTCAAACGGCCCACTTGGAAGTGAAGGGAGAGACATTAAAAAAAAAAGAGGCTAGAATATCTCCAAGGGACAACAGGAAAGCTGACTCTTGTCTTTTGTTGTGTCAAATGGAGGCCAAATGTTGTCCAAAACCAGAGCTGGTGTTGATAATCTGTGAATGGTGTGTTATGGCTAGAAAAGCTTGTGTTGTCATTGTTCAGATAAAATAGTGTTTGATCATTTGGAGTATGGTGTAGGAGGAGGAGAAACAAGGGAAACAATAAATTTAGCTATTTTGCTAAAGTAAGATAAGTTAAGGCAACATGAGGTTTGAAACTTTACTGCTGGAGTTTTTGTGTCCTGCTTTTTTGGGATTTTATTTTGCAAAAATCAGCCCTCCTTTTACAAATGCATAAAGTGTAAAACAATTTCTCTGGACACTTCTTTTTGTCCGTCTCCTTTAGATTTTCATCCTTTTTGGTATTTTATTCCTTCTTTCTTTTCCATCTGTCCCTAGGACAGAGTTTCAGGGCATCTTAGGCAAGAACACACAGGTTTTTTCCCTTGTCCCAATTTTGCCCTTTCCTCTGTGCTAGGACTAAGCCAATCACTTCTATTGAAGAGACCTCCTTGCTGTTCCAGCCAGTAGCATTGTGAGGCCTCTTCACCTGTTTGGCACCCTTCAGAGTATGTCTGGACCCTTCAGCAGAAAATTCAGACCATGATATCCAGGATGAAATACATGTTGTGCAGAAAACAGATCTGGGCAGGAACAGATCTATGCAAAGTTAGGGATATCAGACATCGTTTCTACGGAGGACAAAGCAAAAAGCAATGGGTTTGAATCCAGATTTTGGAAAATACATAAAATTTCCAAGCACCAGCATTTATATAACATTGGTGTCCTGTGCACTCTATTTTGTATAATTATGTGCTAGAATCCAACTTCTGCCGTTTCCCTAGCTTTGTAGTGAACTTCCATGACAGATGTAGACTAAAAATGATTTAAGGAGTTTGGAGAGCAGTTATGCAATGGAGTTAACTTCCTGTCTTTCCTGGATGTCATCTAAGAGATCTTGTCTCCTAGGGTAGGAGGTCATTTATTGTTACCATCAATCATGTTTGTATCCTGCTCTTGCTAGGATGAGTTATGGGCAATATGCATGAGGGTTATCATAGTTTATTCTCACAACAGCCCTGTCAGGTAGCACAGGCTGAGGATGAGTGACTAAGCCAAGGTCCCGCAGTGAGCTTCATGACTTAACACGGACTCAGACATGGGTTTTCCAGGTCCAGGTTGACACTTGTACCAACTACATTTGACTGAGATTACACTGAGATTGTATTAGATGACCCACTGAGTTCCATCCGGCGTTGGAATTCCTTTTCACATGTTTATTTTGAAGACCAAGAAATGTGCTGCTGTGGCTCATCTCTTGCACAGGATCACGGCATTTTCCCTTGAGGAACTGCGTCTGTTCTGAAAGGGTATTGCAGTCACCATCACCCCCATCCCTCCTGAAAAACACTGATGGAACCATATTGTTGTTGGGAAATTTGAAATTCTTTGCTCAGCTGGGTAAGGGATTGCTATTTAGAGTGCTGTCTGGAATGTGGTTGTGTGAGTGCAATGGCTAGCGCTCATGACTTCACTGATGAGGTACGTTGTGGAAATTGTTTAGTTCAGTTGTGTACTTTCTGTTTATGGCTACTTTTGCTATGCTTGTAATTATGTAATATTTTTCATGTTGTAAGCTGCCTTGAGTATGGTTTTAACTATGGAAAGCCTAGTGGTCCTTAATTCTAATGCCACAGCCTGCAAGAGGCCCCCTGAAATTGACCAGGTTGAAGAGGACAAAAATCTAGAGAAGTCCTTTTGTTTGTTTGAGCAATTCTCCTCCCACCTGTGCAGATGGATGATCAAGGTGTTCCTCCAGACTATCTTGAGACTAGTTTCTCTTGGTTCCAGCACAAGCTCCCTCTTGCATCTTTCCTGACCATTAGGAAGGGGTGTGTGAGCACAGTTGCACCTCTCTGCAGCAAGGTGGACCTCACCTCCCATCCATTAGGTTTTGACTAGCTATTACTCTATTGCCGTTGCACCAGGACTTTGGAACATAGGAAGCTGCCTTATACAGTAAAATGAAGCATGGCAGCCCCCTGCTTATGCAACTCTCTCCTGAGTATCGTCGGATCGTCCACCACTTTGATCACATTCAGGCAAAACTTTAAAAACTCACTAATCTGTCCTGGCGTTTGGGGTAGGGTGGGGACCAAAGGGTGTTGGGTCTATATGGTGCTGTTTATTATACTGATAGGCAGTTGTGTCATATAGTTATTTTCATGTTATGTTGTTAGCCATCCTGTGCTGCTCTTTGGGATGAAGGGCAGGTTACAAGAACTAATAATGAATGAGTAGCAGGCCATTTCCTGACAGGTAGCAGCTCTCCAGGATTTGGGGCTGGGCTCTTTCCCAGCCCTACCTGGGGATGCCAGAGATTGGACCTGGGAGCTTTCACATACAAAGCACGGTGCTCGTCTGCTGATCCACAGCCCCTCCCTGACTTGCAGGACTAACCCCTGCAAAAGCTTAAATGGCATATGCAGTTGTGCTTTGAATTGGTTCTATGGGTAAGCTACCAGAATCCCTCTATGCTTCCAGCAGCCCTCAGCATCCTGGACCAAGTGTAGCACTCCCAGGCGATGATCTTTCCTGTATTATCGAGTGTGCTACTTCTTGAATAACTTTGCAATGAAACAGGAAAACAGCAAGCATTTCTGCATGGGTTCCGAACTGGATTCATCTCTGGCAATTGGAACAGGCTTCTGAAAAAGGCAGCTGAGGCAGGGGAATGGAGAAAACAGGCAAAGTGGGAGGCAGCTTTCCCCTTTCTCATGAGAGCTATATTCAAAACTCCATTGCTAAGGTGTTTACTAAATTTGGAAGACCCTACAGATTGCAGCATCCTCTTCACAGTTAGCCTCAACTGTGCCGAAAGCAGGGCAACTTCTGAGTAAACATTTGTAGGCTCGAGCTGCTTTCCTGGTGCCTCTCTTTTGTTGTAATGGTTCACTGTAGATGGGCAGAGAGGGAGCTTTGGGTCATGCTAATCTGCCAGGCTACACAAGATGACATTATAGGACCCCAAGAGGTGTACATGGCTAGCTTCCTGCTGAGGGAGTGGCATACTGAGGATTGGGAAAGAAGGTGCTTGCTGCTTCTCAAGGCTCCTGACTCCAAGAAGGGGTGCTTGCCATCAGGGTGGCTTCTCAGTGGGCTTGGTTGAGGGCACTTCTGCAAATTCCTTTGTGGAATTCTCTCTGCACTTGGCACCTCTCTACGTGCTGCCTGCCCAGAAGGGAACTCCTCGTAGTTCCTTGGGAACTTGCACTTGCACTGCCTAGTTTGGAGTGTGTGTTTCTGTGCCTCTCTCTCTTTCTCTTTTTTCCCCTCTACCCAATTTTCAATCCCTGGGTTTTGTTCCCCTGGTTGCGAGGGATTCCTGCTCTCCCCTTTTCTCTGTTCCCTGGGAATGGTTCTGCCTGGCTCACGTCCCACATCCTCCCTGGGAACAACAAAAAAAGAATGCACTCAACAATGTCCGTTTCTGTTGCTGCATCCTTCAAGGGGCCTTCGTGCCTCTGCCGTTGACCCCCATCCTTCCTTGCGCTTTCGGCAAATGCACGGCTGCCCGTGTAGCCTTGGCCTCTGCTTTTGGCATCTTTCGTCCGCGGAGATCCTGTCCCATCTGTGCTCTCTGCTTCTCCCCCAGCGCCGCCTCCCATTTTGTATGGTACTTTGCTTTCTTCTCGCCCTCTGAATTTGCACGTTAAGTCCCCCACACATCTGCAAGCTCTTTGATAACTATATAAAGCACTGATACGGTCGGTACATGAAACAACATGGGCAAAGGAGTGCACACTTGCTTCCCTCATCTCTCCCCCCCCCTTTATTTCATACACTGTATTCAACCTCCATCTTTCCTCCAAGGAGATCTTGGTGGCATAGAGGATGCTCCTCCCTGCCCAATTTTTATCCTCACAACAACCCTGTTAGGTAGGTTAGGTTAATACATGACAATGGGTAATTGGGATTTGGACTTGGGACTCCTTCGTCTCAAGCTCTAACCACTACACCACACAGCTTCCTAGTGACTTTGAATTTCCCCTTGGTGTTGTGTTTTGTTCTAACTTCTCCTCATCGTGAGAAGTTACAGTACTCCCCTCTTTGGGTTTCCCACAATCCCTGTTTGGTCTTCCCACTATGGCCCCAGTCTTGAAATTCAACAGCTCATGTCTTGCATAGCTGTACTGAGAATTGCTTTGCTAATTAATTGCCTGGCAGTGCTTCAGTGCGGAGAGGAAATGACTCTTTATCTGAACAGAACTCCGCTCAAGGAATTTCAAGCTGACGTGTGAGCCTTTGCCTTTTGCACTTCTCCAGCAGTGCTCCATGCTTCCTCCAGCCATAGGCATCCAAAAAGGAGACAACCCTGCACCCCATGAACCATAACTCCCAGATTCCCCACTTTTCATTTTAAACAAGCTAAGTTTCAAGCCTGAGATACGAGGCAAAAAAGTACAAGAACTAATTATTCTCATTTTATGCGGCAGAGAAGTTAGCTTGCTTTCCCCTTTTTAGTGTTTTAACTCCACCTTCCCAAAAACATTTCTGCAGATGCCGTTGCCTCCAGCCTAACTTTGTGCATGGAAGCACCTCACCTTAGCCAAGGGTCAGTGTGACTGCCCCCCTGCTCTTTATCTGTCTGAACTGCCCCTTAGAAGCTGAAAACAGCAACTGTCAAATCTGGCCCTAATGCTTTGTGTTTCATTGTTTTTGGTTTTTTTCAATAGGCAGAGCCTGTGACAGGATTGAGACTGGCTGGCACTGAGCGGCTGTCATGATCTCTGCAGCGCCTCTCTACAGCGGGGTACACAACTGGACTGGCGCTGAGCGGATTCGCATGTGTGGCCTCAGCGAAGAGAGGTGAGGTGCGTGTGGCCTCCACAGGCCGGGAGGGAAGAGGCTGGGCAGCTGGTGTGTGAGAGGTGGTCGGATTCCTTGTTAGAGGATGCTGGGCAAAGGGGCGTCCCCCAGTTTGCAAAAATGCAGTTCAGCTGACTTAATTTGTAGGGTGATTTAGGCAAAGAGACTCGAGTGGAGCTGGGGAACCTGTGGCCCTCCAGCCTTTGCTGGGCTACAACTCCCACCATTCCTGATTGTTGCCTGGGGGCTTATGGGAGTTGCAGTCCAGCAACATCTGCAGGGACACAAGTTCCCTGCACCAGACACCAGCCTTCAACTGTTGCACCAGGTACCCACTACTTATCTACAGTGGGTCAAAACAGTAGCTCTATAACCATACAAATATATGGTAAGAAAAATAATAAATGGGTCAGCATATGTATGATGGAGCTAAAGGAAGTTCCTGGGTCTGAAAAAGCCGGAAGACTGCTGCTTTAAAGTAGCTATCTTGGTACGCACCAGATGTGCTGACTATGGCTCAGATCAGCACCAGCCAGCACATTTTATGATTTCCATTAATTATTTTAACTCTCTTTTTTGCTGGATGTGTGTGGCTTTGTTGTTTAATAATAATGAAGGTTTTGTCCTTTCCTCCAAGTAACTTGTGGTTCTTCTCTCCCCCGTTGCTTATTCTCACAACAACCCTGTGAGGTAGGCTACTTTGAAAGAGAGTGATGAGCCCAAAGTCACCCAGGGAGCCTCATGGCTGAGCGGAGGTTTTAACCTGGGTCTCTCTCCTTTCCTAGTCTGCTCTAACCACTGCATCACATGGTATCGAGCTTTTTTGTCATTAAGTGGTGCATTTAATAATAATAACAGTGACATGTTGTCATCATTATCATCATTAGTTTAAAGTATGAATTTGGCCAAGTAGTACTCAATATTGCGAGGTCTTTATTAGGATGGTAGTTTTTAAGCTAAAATCAGAAACTTTCAATGCATCAGGTTTGAATGCATAAGCTTTGCTGGATCCTTTGAATTTGTGCAAGATGTATGACATTTCACCTGCAGCCGTATTCATCACCAGCAGAGGCAAAGGGGGACAAATCACTCCTACATGATCACAGTCACCTCTCTGAGTCTCTCGTATGCAGTGGTGCTGTCAGGGCAGGGTTTGGAGATGCATGTTCGGAGCCCTACACCTTAGCAAAAGGAGCAGGAGGGGTCCCAAATGCATCAGGACTGGCTTTCCACATTTTTGAAGTGATGTAATGCACATAATAACTAGCAAAAGTTCCCCGCTGCCCCCAGCAAGACAGTGTTTCGTGATGTGTATATACCATAAATCTGAAGCTCATTTGAAGCATATGCTTTCCCCCAAAGGATCCTGGGAACTGTAGGTCGTTTTTAGTTGCCAAGAATTGCAGCTTTGTGAGGAGTAGACTACAGCTCCCAGGATTCTCAGAAGAAAGTCACTTGCTTTAAATTTATAGCGTGTATGCAGCCTGAAATTACCTGACAGCACCACCACTAACCACATGTTTTCGAAGAGATAGTGTTGCTCTACCTCTCCCAAAAATGTTGGGGTGGAGGGAAAGAAAGATTACTTTCTAAAAACATGGCCAGGCTTTCCACTCAGCACTCTTTAAGTAGAGAAGGGGATTGAGGTCAGGCCAAGTGGATAATGTGGGGTATTTCTCCATGGTTGAGATATGAGAGAATTTGTGGAAAGTCTGGGAAGCTTGAGGTGAGGGATCTCAGGGGGGAAGGTGGATGGAAGGGATCTCTTGGCCTCTTCTTTCCCCCCACACTTTGGCCACAATCTCACCTGCTACTTCACAAGTTTACTTCCATCATCGGTGATAAAGTTTGGGAAGCTGCAGCTCTGGACCCAAAACAGCATAGATTTGGGAGTGGGTGCCACACGAATCGAGGTGAACAGGTAGAAAAAGGTCTTGGAAGGGAGCTGGTGTCTGTCCCTTGTTATGGCTTTGTTGGTGTTCTTCAACCTTGGCTTCCCTGGAGTTGCAGGACTACAGCTCCCATCATCCCTGACTCTTGGCTAAACTGGTTTTGCATGATGGGAGTTTTAGTCCAGCAACAGCTGGAGACCAAGACTTAAGCATTCAGTGATTCTGAATTTCTCTTAAGTTATACAGGCCTACTGCTGAAGGTTGGGAAGCCAACCTTGCCTTGCTTGCACATCCTTTAGGACAAGTGTGAGCTGTGTATGACTCATGAACTGCATCTGGCTGACAAAGCTCCCTGCCTATGTGCATCTGCTCACAAGAGATACCTCCAAAAGTGGGTTGGGGGATGCTTTGGGTCTTGCAGGTTTGGGAGATTGTTTCTCAGCTTCACAATTCTTTCTCTTCTTCCTGCAACAGGAGAGCCCCACTTTCTGATGAAGAATCCAACACCAGCAACTCCCAGCATCTGGGCTCCCCTGACTTCTGCACTGGCAGCAGCTTTTCCAAGGTAAGGGGCAGCTTAGTGTCTGTACCTAGGGGAGGAAGCTTTGACTCTTGCTGAGATACAGAGGGCCTAAGTGGCTAATTACCTGGCCAGCTCAAATGGAATGGGCTGCCACAGGGTGGACTGATGGCCATGGACTTGGGTGACTTTTTTATATAAAGGGTGTTATGCACATTCATGGAGGAGAAGGAGAGATGATGGCTGTTTACCCCATGACCAAGAGGTAGAGCAGCTGCTTTGCATGTGTATAGACCCAGGCTCAATCCACATCAACTCTAGAGGATCAGGTTGCAGGTTCTAGGAAGGACTCTTGCCTGAGACCCTGGGAAGCTGCTGCCAGTCAAAGAAGACAGTGCTGGTTTAGATGGGCCAGTAATCTGAACCTGGTACAAAAGGATATTCCTGTTTCTTAAGCCAGGGTAGCTAAATGGAACCTCCATGTGCTGAGGCAGTCTGTCCCCGAGCACCAGATATTGGGGACAAATAGGGACCTTTGATCTGATGAAGCAGGAAAGGGATTCTTATGTTGCTTTCTTCGAACAAATGTTGCATAGTGGCTATTAAAACAAACAAACCAGAACATGAACTGGACAGTTCTCAGTTCAACTCTTGCCTCTGCCATGAAATTAGGTGCTGGTAATAATAATAATAATAATAATAATAATAATAATAATAATAATAATACTCCGCCCATCTGGCTGGATTTCCCCAGCCACTCTGGGCAGCTTACAGCATATATCAGAACATACTAAAACATCAAAATTAAAAATGTCCCTAAGCAGGGCTGCCTCCAGAAGTCTTCTAAAAGTCAAATAGTTGTTTATTTCCTTGACATCTGATGGGAGGGCGTTCCACAGGGCGGGCCTGACTACAGAGAAGGCTCTTTGCCTGGTTCCCTGTAACTTCGCTTCTTGCAGTGAGGGAACCACCAGAAGACCCTCGGAGGGACCTCAGTGTCTGGGCTGAATGATGGAGGAGGAGACGCTCCTTCAGGTATACTGGACCAAGGCTGTTTAGGGCTTTAAAGTCAACACCAATACTTTGAATTGTGCTCAGAAATGCACTGGGAGCCAATGTAGGTCATTCAATACCAGTGTTATGTGGTCTCGGCGGCCACTCCCAGTCACCAGTCTAGCTGCTGCATTCTGGATTAGTTGTAGTTTCCGAGTCACCTTCAAAGGTAGCCCCATGTAGAGCACATTGCAGTAGTCCAAGCAGGAGATAACCAGGGCACACACTACTTTGGTGAGGCAGTCTGAAGGGAGGTGGGGTCTTAACCCGGCGTACCAGGTGGAGGTGTGGGTCACCCTTGTTGATTCCAGGTAGCCTTAGGCGAGTCACTCTGCCTTGGCTCCCTAGCAAGACAATAAAACTGATTTCTAACCTGCTTTAGGATTCCTGATATAATTTGCATGTGAAACACCAACAACATGCTTATACAATAGTGTTATTGACGCAATTGCCTTCCCTCGTTGCTGCAGGTGGAGCTCACAGCAGTTTCGAGTAGCGGCGGCAGTGCCCAAGGATTTGAGGCAGAGGGCATCGTGGAGGAGGAACTCGGACCTACACTTAAGGAGCAGCCCTGCGAGCCAGACTGTGCTGAGAAGGCCTTGACGGGCAGCGATGCCAACCCAGGCAAAGTTAGGGAGGGCGGACTCACAAGGCCAGAGAGCAGCAGCAGCCCGGACTGTGCACAGCCGTCTGCTAAAGAGGCGGCAGAGGTCTCCCCTGCTTGCCCAAAGGCTCTGGAGAGTGAGCATCCAGCAAAGGAGAAGAGCACCCCAACTGCTGGCACAACCCTGACAGCTGCCGCCACGGCTGCCGCCGCCACGGCCACCAACAGCTGCAGCACTTTGACCTCTCCCCCAGCCACCTTCACCTTGAAAAGCGTCTGTTTCTCCACTTCTCAGGCCCCTGCTATGCAAAAAATGGCCCTCTCCTTCCCACCCGGAGCAGTCCTCACCCCCAGCCAGCCCCTGGTTTACCTCCCACCTCTTCCGAGCCCACTCGGGGTCCCGTCTGCCCTTGCCCTGCCTGTCATACCCTCCTTCCCACAAGACCCCTGCCTTCCTAGCCTTCTCGCCCCCTCTGAGCTGCGCTCTTACCCATATGCCTTCTCCGTGGCCAGGCCTTTGGCCGCAGATCCCAAAGTGGCGCCTGTGGAGACAAGCCAGCTGAACTGCCCTGCCCCGTCAGGGGAGAGCAGCGCCCTTGCAGTCACTGGGCCCTCCTCTGCTGTCGAAGGCTCGGACCTCTCGCCTAGCACGCCTGCCTCGGCAGCAGCAGGTGCCAGCACTGTCCCGCTGTCAGTCGCCGCCAGCGTGCTCACCAGGGCCCCGGCAGTCCCGGAACAGCTTCCCTCAGGCGTCCTGGCCTCCATCTCCCCGCTGAAATCCCCCCCACAGCTGGAGCGTGAGATGGTCTCCCCGGAATGCAGCGAGATGCCCCTTGACCTTTCCGCCAAGTCAAACCGCCAGAAGCTGCCTCCTCCGAGCCAGCGCAAGACGCCCCCGATGCCTGTGTTGACCCCGGTGCACACCAGCGGCAAAGCACTGCTCACCACGGTCTTCTCCAAGCCTCAGCGGGTGGCTCAGGCCATTGGCGGCCCGGGCACCGCTTCACCCTTCGTCATCTTCCCGGAGTTCCTCCGCAATGGGGAGCAGGGCTCCTGGGTGAAGAACTCAACTGCCCTCATCAGCACCATCCCAGGCACCTACGTTGGGGTGGCCAACCCAGTCCCAGCTTCCGTGCTGCTGGGCAAGGATTCCGGCCCCGGCCTTGGCAGGGACTCCCGCCATCTCGCCAAGCAAGAGCTCATTTCCATTGTTGACCAGGGAGAGCCTCGCAGTGGTGGGCTGCCTCCCGGGAAGAAGAGTGGTGGAGAGGGGCCTCTTGACCCCGCACGGCAGCTCCTTCGTGGCCGGGGTGTCCCAGGGGCCCAGTTGCACCCTTCAAAGGAGCTGGCCATTTGGAGCCCCAGCCAGGGAAGTGTTTACCCTCGGTGCTCAGTCAACGGGAAGCCTGCCAGCCCCCAGCTGCTGCCCGTGGGGTGGTCGCCTTATCATCAGGGCCCTCTGCTTTCCATCGGCATCTCGGCAGCCGGGCAGCTGTGCCCGAGTCAAGTTGCCCCTTGCAAACCAGCTGGCGCAGGCGAGCTGGCCACGTTCCCTGGTGTGCAGCCGATAGAGTCCTCTGCTGTGGTCCAGAAGCCCCCGGAAGCTCCCTCTCAGGGCAAGGGTTGTAAGGCAGCCTTGCCGAACACAGCCAGCCCTTTGTGCATCTCACCAGCTCTTCAGACCAGCCTCCCAGACGCAAGGGGCTCCGAGGGGCTCATCCCAAAATACGACTCCGACAGACTCGAGGCTGACTTGGCAGCAGAGGCCACCCCGCAGCCCAAAGCTCCCCCAGAGGGCTGCAGCCGCAAGCGCCCCGGGGACGCCAAGCCTAAAAACCAGGTCTTGACCGCCTACCTATCTCACGGCCTTTCCTTAGCCAGCCAGCCAAGCGTGCGGACGACCTCTGAGACGCCTCTCCCAGGGAGCAAGCGCAAGGACCGGAAGTGCAGCAACGCATCTCGGGATCAGCCGGCGGCAGAAGTCACTCTCCGCAGTGTGCACCAGGTTGACCTCAGCCGCGTGAAGAAGGAACGGGTGGAGCCAGAGGTGCTGATCACCTCCACCACTTGCCTGCACGCTGGGGCTGCCTCGAGAAGCCCTCCGAAAGCCAAGCTCAAGGGGGTGGCCCACATCAAAGTGGAGGAGGGCTTCCCCTGCAAGTCCAAGCGGCAGCATGACGGGCCAGACCGCCTGACCCACAAGAAGCAGAAGTGCAGGGGCAGTGAGGAATCTCAGGCTCCCTGCAAATCGGACAGCCAGAACCTGCACACCCGCAAGGTGAGTGACTTCCCCTGATGTGAAAACAGGGATCGCACCCAGCATTTCCTGGAGCAGCACCTGAGGGGTGGAATGGGTGAGATTGGGCTGAGGGTTAGGGAGTCCTCAGGGAGGACTAATCTCTTGCTGAGGACAAGGTAAAAGATGAACCAGGATTGAAAGATGTTGGAAGTAACCTCCTGTAGTGCTGATGGAGGTCCTGAAGAGCTGCTTCCAATACTACAGGAAGGAGAGAATATTGCCTGGACAGCAGACAGAACCAGGAATTTCATGTGATAACATTGTGCATCTTAAAATTATTTTGTGACTCTCCCTCATGAGAAGTGCTTGTTTGATGCACAAGAGCACTATTAGGATCAGTGTCCATTGTTAACACAAATGTCCTGGTTGGTTATTTTTTATTCAGTTTCTTATTTTCGCTGTATCTTAGCTAACAGACAGAACGGATCCAGGGAAAATAATTACATGACAAAATGCTTCTGATGTTACATTTTAAAATGTAGTTTGTCCTCTAAAAAGCTGTATCTAGGTTGAATCTCTGTGTAATACACTAGTTGGAGGTGAGGCTGATGTGTGAATCCCAGGTGTGGTCTTGGAAGCATTTCTGGTTTTGTCTGGTGGCTCCAGCCTTATCAGAATGCCTTGGGCTTTTCCCTGGGTTTGACTTTACTTGCATCAGAGGTTTCTTCGTGCAGCTAGATGGAGCATGTGACGTCAGAAGAGGCTCAGAGGCACTTGGCTGTGTCATATGGCTTAGGGCAAGTCTGTTTTAATTGCCCCAAGTGCATGCCCTGTTGCCAGCAGCTGCTTGAATGAGACACAGCCATTAAGAAGCCACGGCCTGGCTTCTGATTTCTTTCAGAGTTCAGTTCAAAGTGGCCCGTGCTTATCATTTTAAAGCTCTTGCATGGCTTGGAACCCAGATTATCTCTTACTGTCTTCCTCCCTACCACTGTGACTGAAGTTCACTTCTGTAGCCTTTCTGAGGGTGACTTGCCCTTCAAAGGCTAAGTGAATGGCAATAAGGGCAGTGAGAGACCTTTTCAGGTATTCCTATATACATACACACACACACTTCCCCCAGGTGGCACCTGATTTTATGTCATTTCATCACCAGCTAAGACCTTTTCCATTTTCCCAGGTATTAATTTCATTTTTATTTTTTTTTACCTGCTAAGCCGATTGGGGTAGTGGTTTTTATTGCCGTGCCTTTTTTAAATCTGCTGGATCTTCCTAGCATTTCGGTTCCAGAGTTTTATTCTGCCTTGTGTTGTATTTCTGAAGTTTCATTTCAATTGCAAGCAGCCCTGGGGACATGGGAGCGCTGGAGGTGTGGGGTACAAACACGGGGGGAAAATAACATGGAACAAACCTGGCAAAGACCTCTCGCTTCCTCTCACCGCCAGTGTGTCTCTTCTGTGTCCACAGTGGCGGAAGTACCACAGCTCCCATGAGGTCAGCAAGCAGGAGAGCCAGTCGGGCTCCACGAAGGAGCATGGCAGCCCCCGTGCCAAGCGCAAGCGCCGGAAGGCGTCTCCAGGGCATCATGGGCACAGCTGCGAAGAAGGTACAGGAGCCGGGTCTGGGCTCTGGCGATTGCCTTTCCTAAAAGTGTCCAACATCCATGGAAGACTCTCCTACGCTGGGTCTCTCTCTGCTGGGCACAGCCCATCTTTGCCCTACCTCTTGAGAGAGGGTTTGAAATGGGAGTGAGCCCCCCTTAAAGTGCAGAGCTGCTACCTGCAGTGTGAGGGGTTTCTGTCCGTCCTCTCTGGGGTATATGAGGCCCGTTCTCTGAATTTGTGGCTTGCTTCCTTAAAATACAGTAGTGTACCTAGCATTTTCCTTTCTTGTGAGGAAGCAAAATATGTGTAAGCAAAGGTTTAACAAACATCAAGCCTATTAGACAACTTAGATGTAGGTTTTTATTTTATTTTATTGCAATTTCCTCTACCTCAGTTTTTGTTTGTGCAACCACGGCAGGACCACTTGCCTGCTGAGCTGGGCATGAGGGTACAAGCTGATGATAATGCAAATCAGAACACAACTGTCCTTTGGGTTTTGCACCTGATCAAATTTTGCAATACAGCTCATAGCTAAAAAAAAAAGATTTGGGGGGGTACCAAAATACGTTTTAAATGTGTGTTTTAGGTGGGCAGGAAGGGCGGGATAGAAATGAAAATTTTAAAGCATATTTTCCAATTAATGTGGAACTGGGACAGAGCAGACTAAACGACTGAACCCATGCACAGTTTGATCTGTTGTTCCCTAATCTCGAGTTGTGTGTCTGAAAACCCCCTTTTGGGTTTGTGGGCTCACTTTCCCAGCTTCACACCTGCTTGTGGCTAAGACCTACTCTGGGGATGGGGGCAGGACGGAGGATGCACAGCTTCCTGGACCAATAGTTGTATTTTTCCAGATGGCAGTTTAGTTTTCAGAGCTCTCTTCTTTTTTCTTTTCTTTCCCCCCAACCAAACAATCCTCCTCAGCTTTTGTTGAGAAGAAATCAAAGAACAGTTTCCGGGACTTCATTCCTGTGGTGCTGAGCAGCCGGACACGCAGCCAGACAGGTGAGTGGCTGATTCCTTCGACCTGGGGGAGGGGAACCTGGCTTTTTTTCAGGGGGTTGTGGTCCGTCTGAAACGTATGCTTGTGTGTTGTGTGAAATCTTCTTAGCTTAGCTGCCTCGGTCCCCCAGTCCCTAAACAACCATGCAGAAAGAGACAAGCAATATCTGTACTTTGGGTCAATTTAATTTGGAAACCAAGCGTGCAGGCTTTTGAGTTGCACAGGTCTCTTCCTCAGAGTGAATTTTGAAGAAAAATCAGCATCTGGATTTGCTAATTGTTTTGTTGTTGTTGTTACTTGTGAAATGAATTATATATTATGGGATTCTGAGAGGGAAAATTGGGCACAAAAGAGGGAGCTGTTGCTAAAGCTGAGATCCCGAGGTGTAGTGCTTAATTCTGATTGAAGAGCGAGGGAGTCCTTTCCTTTCCTTCTTCCTGTAGGAAGCATGGGAGGCTCTTCTGTTAACATGTTGGAGGAGTGTGGCCAGGAGATTCTACCGCCGGTGGAAGAGGAAGAAGAGAATGTTGAGGGAGAGGATGAGCTCACCCTGAGGCATCGCAGGCTGAGAAAATCCCACCGCCTCTCCCCGCACTCCAGCTGCAAAGACGGAGAGCGGTCGCGGTCAGAGAAGAGCAGTTTCCACTCGCGCAAGAGTCAGGGGATGCAGTGGCAAGTGGACGCCACTCGGCAGCTGTGGAGCCGCAAGGAGGTGGAGGAGGAGAGCGGCCACATCAAGAGGAAGAAAAGGAGGAGGCAGAAAAGCTGGAAGTACCAGACTGGAGAGTACTTGATAGAGCGGGAGAAAGAGGAGCACACGAGCTGTTGCCATAAGCGGCGGAAAATGAAAGCAGGTAGCGAAGGGGAGCCACCGGGAGCAGCATGGGGCATGGCTGCAGCGCAGGGATCCTTAAGGCGGCAGCCTTTGGTGCAACTTCTGCGCTGTCAGGCTAGTGTTACTTGGCCCTGTGGCAGCTTCGCATTTAACAATTCACTTAGTCGCCATGGGCAACCAGGAATCCCATGCAGGCGAGTGAGTGGGCTCGCAAAGGAGGCATGGACCTTTCTGCCTCTCCTCTGCCAACCTGCTTGGCAGAATGCAATTCTTAAAGAAAGCGTAGCCCATGTTTCTTGCTGGCCGTGGGGCAGGCTGGTAAATAAAAAACACAAATTTGTGGGCTGAGCCAGTCCATGCCAATACCTGTGACTGGGAGGGTTGTAAGGGGCAGAGAGGGAAACATTGTACATCCTGTGTGCCCCCGCTGCTCACAGTGGTTGCCAGCACTCTTAGTTTGCCCACCATGTTTCTGTGCATGTGCAGTAGTAATAGCCCATGGAAACAGTGTGAACCTGGGACAGGCGGTCTCCCTTCCTTGGGTCTTCTGAGGTTTTGCCAAGCATTGACCATGCATTTTGAACCATGTGGTGCAGTCTGAAGTTTGTCATCCTGCACCAAGTGCTGCACAAACTGCGTACAGCTCTGCCTGTGCCTAAAGCACCCCTGGTGGATACCCATCCAACTTCACTTCCCTAGAGGTTGTCTAAAATAGACCTCGCCAGCGTCTTAGCCTGCTTATTTGTTGCTGAACGGCTGTTAAGTCTGTGGAGTGCCCTTTGAACAACTTATGCTGCAGCCGTCTCCTCCCTAGAATTTAAAAGGCAGTGCTTTACCAGAGAGGAAATAACAAGCAATTGTCCCTCTCCTTTCTGGCATCTTTTTTTAAGAAACAAAAACAAAAACAAAACCCTTTTAGGCCATTGGAAAGAAGAGGGACAATTGCTCTTGCAGGCTTGCCAAATTAATCCCGCTGTCGTCTGCAGGAAGGCGTCCCTCTTCAGCCTGAGTGAGGACAAGTCTTCCGTAGTGGCACGGAGCAAGGCACAACTGTCCAGTTTGCCAGCTGCGGTAGCCACCAGGGGGCGGCTGCTTCGGCTTGGGCTTTGCTAGCAGGGGTGGAAAAAGCTGCGGAGTGCTTTGCGAAGAGCTTAAAGGCCTGGAAGCCTTAAGGGAGGACAGGGCCGCATGTATTGTGGGAAAGCTCATTAAGCAGGAGGAAGCTACGTAGAACTTCAAGCACAGCTTCCCTTTGGGGCGATTGTGGACGTCTGCAGTGTATCTAACGGCGTGTGCTGCCTGTGGGTGGGTCCGTCCACCAGTCTCTCTTCGTCCTCGTTTGTATGCTAATTCTTTGCTTCTGGTCAAAGGTGTCAGTTTCCCAGAATCCTTTGCTTTTGCAGTTCTCTGGCCCTCTGGTCCATCTTCCTTTCAAGTTGTTAGCAAAGGATCATGTACGTCGGTGGCATAATAATAAATGCAATAAAGCTACGGAACTCACTGCCACGGTAATGTGGCAGTGGCTCAGAATAGAAGGGGGCTAGGGAAATAGGTGCAGAAGTTGTGACGTTAGTGCCGTTTCAGTTGGCTAAAATGGGAGCAGTTGCTTAGCAGCACTCCATAGACTGAGGATGCTGGACAGCTTCCTCTGACGTACCCGCGGCTGGCTGATGGTATGCAAGGGGAGCTAACCAAGAAGCTTGCTCCGAAGCCTCTGCTGTTCCTTTCTTTTTCTACTTCCCACTTCTATTTGCATGTTCGGGAGCTGATTCTGAGGCTAGGCTGCCTCCCGGAAGGGCTTCACAGGGATGTCTGCATTTGAGCCTCCTTTAATCCCCCTCTGGCTTGCCTTGCAGACTTCAGGTACCGAAAGCACAAGGATGCTGTGCCGAGCAAAGGCTCAGACCTGTGTTTGAGGAGCAGGCTTTCTCCAACCCTCCAAGGACGCCTGGACTTTCACAACGGATTCCTCTTGGATCACCCCGACTCGGCTCCCATCCAGGATGTGCTAGAGAAACCTTCTGGGAAACGCAAATGCAAAACCAAACACCTCTCAGGCGTCTGTGAAGAGGGGAAGGTACAGTATTGCTTAGGAGGTGCTGGAGTTGATTTCAGGATAGGGTTAGACGGGTGCTGCACCCAGGGCTCTGTGGGAGTCTGAGCTACAAAACCAGGCTCAATTGCCAGTTGAAAGGTTTAGCTAGCAGTTGCTGGGAAATAACTTCTCTCGGTTGCCTGGGGAAGTTGCCACTCGGCATCACAGACCAAGGATAGGCAACCCATAACCCTCCTGGCTGGGGTGGGAGGGAGCTGAAGTGCCACAGGCAGCACATCCCTGTTGTCAACAGTATTAATTTAAGCATAACAAAGAGTCTCATCTTGGTGTACAGCTGCTCCCTCACTTCATAGGATCTGCCAGCATTTTTCATTTTATTTTAAAGGGCTCTCAATATGATCAGAGCAGAAGCCAGGTGTGTATGTGTTCAGAACCCAGATTGGCAATCTTATCTGCCCTCCTGTGCACAATGCAAAGGCAGAATGGATTACTGGGAGCCGAATCCAGCGTTTGGGAGTCTCAGTTTTCTTTTCTTTTTTTAAGATTTAACAAAATGTGAGTGATGCCTGTGAGATCCCAGTAAACTGGGCTAGTGTGGTGTTGGAGAGTGTGATTTACACTGCTGAGACTTCCATATTGCATATCATTTTCTGCCCTTCTCCACAGCTAGCAGAAGCAGAATTGAGTGTGCATACAAAAGTAAACATGTTATTGATGTAAACTGTGACCTTGTGGAATGCAAGCTTTTGGGGTTTTTTTTTTAGAGGTTCAGAATTCTTCTTCGCTTAGCCCTGTTCTGACACTACTCTTCTTCCTCCCCAATCATTCTCTGTGTTCCATTTTTTTTAAAAAAAGGCCAAGGCACGCCTGAGCCAGTCCAAGACACGCTCTCCAAAGAAAGCTCGGGAACCCTGCTTGTTGAACAAGTCCCGGCACCACAAATCAGAAAGATCCCCCGAGCCCCCCACAGCCCCGCCGGTGCCCCCTGAAGCTCGCCGACTGATTGTGAACAAGAATGCCGGGGAGACACTGCTGCAGAGAGCAGCCCGGCTTGGCTACAAGGTGGGTGCCAGTTCTTGCAGGGGGCGGGGCGGATAGATAAATAGCAGGAGACAAGTGCTGCCATTGTTTACTAATCTTGGGTTGGGGGTTCTTTCGCCAGGATGTGGTGATGTACTGCCTGCAGAAGGAAAACAACGATGTCAACCACAGGGACAACGCAGGCTACACAGCCCTGCACGAGGCCTGCGCTCGCGGCTGGGTGGACATCCTGCAGCTCTTGCTGGAGCATGGTGCAAACGTGAACTGCAGTGCACAGGATGGCACCAGGCAAGTCCACTGCTGCTGAGGAACCACAGTTGCCAGGGGCATGGTCAGGGGCTAAGAGGTCTGCTGACTCTGTGCCTCATTTGGCCCGTTTTAGCTTCTGGATCTGTAACATTGACGAGTTAAGCCAATGAAAGCTGCTGTGGTGCAGTACTTAAGAGTCAGATTTAGGGCAGAGGAGAGCCAGGTTCCATTGCCAACTCTGCCACTCTCTGGGCAATCTTGGACCAGCCATACCCTTTTTCATGAGGGTAAAGAGATGGGGGAGACCACGTAAACTTCCTTGAGATCCTTGGGAGGAAAGGTGGGGTGGCAATTAAATAAATAAATGCAACCTACCTTGTCCATGTCCTCTAAGAGGGGCATCTTGGATTGAATTTCAGCCAGTTCTGCAGGTTGAGAACTGTCTGCTGAAGTGGAGCTGCTCTCTCTTTAAAAATCCCTGCACATAGAAAAATAGCATGCTGGGGAGAAGGCTCAGCAAGAATCCCTCCACGGTCTTGAAAGCAATCCAGTCCAGGCCACACCCCATGAGAAAGACGTGATGGATGGGCTGTCTAATGCACTCACCTACCCTGAGGGGCAGCGGTTCTGCAATGTCCCAAGCCCAAAGTGGCGGTGCCTGGATCTTTTTATCGAGTAATTCCAGGGACTAAATTGTTGTCCCGCGTACTTGAAAGGCATGTGCTTTGCCATTGAGCTGTGGCTCCTTCATGTCTGGTACTTCTTTAAATCCTTGCAGCTCGGGATAATTATTTATTAATAATATGGTCGTTGCTCAGTTACCAAGGACAGGCCAGCAGTGGACATTTCTCCATATTCATTTCTCCCTATTTAAAATATGTAGCAGAGCACAGGACCCTTCCACCCACCTCAGCATATTGTTTACGCTGGCTGGCTGAAGCTGTCTGGTTTTTCAGACGAGTCTCTCCCAGCCCTACCAGAAGCTCCTAGGGATTGAACCTGGAACCTCTTGTAGGCAAGCAGATGCTGAGCTTGCCGTCTGTCATTAACAGAAAGTACACAACACTTCACAAAGGCAAACAGGAGGGGTAGGATCCCTTGCAGGTTCCTTAAGGGTTCCCTGATGGCTGGCCTATGGGGAAGGCCAGGGAGGAATGGGTGATCCCTGCTCAGCTCCAACCTTTTGACTCTGTGAAATCCGATTTAAAACTCTTTGTCTCTTGGCAGGCCTGTCCATGACGCTGCAGCAAATGACAACTTGGAGATCATGTGGCTCCTGCTGTCTTACGGTGCTGACCCAACCCTGGCTACATATTCGGGGCAGACTGCCCTGAAGCTGGCCAGCAGCGAAAACATGAAAAATTTCCTTAATGGTAGGTTTCCTTTTGTCAAAGGTAAGGCAGCAATTTTAAACACACCCCGGCCATTGGATACTAGATATGACGTGTGTGTTGCTGCAGTCGAAAATGCACATGGGTTTTGCAGGAAAAGTGCCTGATTTGCACTAAAGGACATCATTCTGCAGGATATATGCATGCTTCTTTGGGTTGATTCTGGTGCATAGTTTTCCCTCTGAGGAAGGGCTTTGGACGGATTCATGTTGGAGGCCTCTACCATGCAAACATTAGACTAGAATCCTACATGAATATTTCTAGAAGGTACCTGTGAGCAAAAGACGAAGATTTTTGCTCCATTAAAGGCTTGCAAAGTTCAATGCATCACAATCATAGCATCACAATCTTTCGTGATAAATCCACATTGAATTATGCCTTTAATCCAGGGTTTCCCAAACTTTGGTCTGCAGCTGTGATTTTTTTGGGACTACAATTCCCATCATCCCTGACCACTGCTTCTACTAGCTTGGGGTGATGGGAGTTGTAGTCTAATGACAGTTGGAGGCACAAGTTTGGGAAACCCTGTTTTAATCGGTTTTTATGGCAAGGATTGTGGAGCCTTCATCCTGCAGGCCAATTTTGGGTCCAGTTTGGCCCATGAGGCCATTTCCCCTAAACTCTGCCCTCTCTGGTCAGTCTCCTGACTTCACTTTGATGGGTGGGTGAAATCAGCTGGTGGGCTGTGCCTGCCTGTTACCCACATGGAGCTGGTATGCTCAGCCAAAGCATCAGTATTTTAAGTGCCCTCCCATCACCTGATGAGAGAGAGTTCAGTTCTGCTCCTTGCTGCTTCCTGGTGATTTTTTCCTTCCACAAGTTAACTTAAACAGGTGAGCAAGATTGCCTACTTAATGGTCACCCGATGGCAGATGGGTTGCCTCTGCCTACCTGTAAAAGTTCAGCCACAAAGGATGGGGGGAGAGAAAATATCTGGCACACCAGGTCAAAAAGTACCCCACATTACTCTCTGGGAACCTTGCCTAAGCACCCAAAAACACATTGACGTCTCAGCTTCCTTTATTCCATTTTATCTTCTTGCAGATTACCTCTTGGATCTGCAGGGTCGAGCTGAAGGGGACCCCCATACAGCCTGGGATTTTTACAGCAGCACTATAGTAGGTGAGTAGACCCCACCTACCTCTTTTCCCTGCTCCCTGGAACAACAAGTAGTGGAGCTGATCGGCTTCCCTCCATCCTTAGAGGCAGGATGTTTGGAGCAAGGGAATGAAGTGCAGGGCATTTTTTGATTTGTTTCCCAAGCACTCTGTCTTTTGGTCTGAAACCACTTGCTCCTGCAGCATACTGAGTGGAGGAGAAAGATCTTCAAAGATGTGTTTGAACCATTTTCTTCAAAAGGTGGGTGATTTTGCCCAGTTACTGCCCTTTGAAGAAACCGGTTTGGTTGCCCCTGTGGAAGAGCCTTCAAGCTCAAGACGTGTCGGTCTCACAAGCGCACCATGGGATGTTTCCTCCGTTCTTTGTTCCTTTGCTGGTGCCTTCCCTTCTTCAGCCTAGGCTGGGATAGGGAACCTGTGGCCTTCCAGGTGCTGCTTGACTTCCGTTTCTGTCATCCCTAACCATTTGCTTGGACCGATGGGAGTTGGGAGTCCAGCAACATCTGGAGGGCCACAGGTTCCCTGTCCTTGCCCTAGTGGCAGCTCTGAGCAAGCAGCAGGCAGCAAGAGATGGGTGACTTTTGTCATACCTTGTGCCAGAATTCCAGCCATTCTCTGTGGAAGAAAATAACCTGCTGCTCCTGTGCCTGAGGAAGTTGGCCTCGCCCATCCTGAGAGTGGAGAGAGTGGGGAAATGAAAGGCAGCATGTATCTAGGACTGTTTGTATTCTCTGTTTAAATGTGGGAAAGAGGAACCCAGCATTTTTGCATCCGTGCAGTCCAGAGGAGTTGAATTTTGTGCCTGCTGAAAGTAGCCTCCCCTCACCTGGTGCCTTCTAGATGCTGCATCATCCCAGCTCCCATCAACCCCAGCCAGCACTGCTGACAGTCATGAGTAATGGGAGTTGTAGTCTAAAAACAACTGGAGGGCACCACATTGGAGAAGGTAGCTCTAAAGGATGAGGATTGAGCACTGTGCATGTTCCCTTATTATGCACAACTTATTCCACTGTTTGGGGGGTTTTTTTGTCTATCATTTATTCTAGCTTTGCTGATCCTGGGAGGGGCTGATGAGCTATGCACCCCAACCACTGGAAATCTTACTTTCTGACCTGAAACATCAGGAGACCCAGCTTACTTGTACTGCCAGATGTTTCTCTGCACCTAAAAAGGCTAGATGCACCTAAAAAGGCTAGATGCATTTCAAAACAGGAGCTGTCATTCTTGCAGAGCTACATTCCTCACCCAGCCTGAGCCTTCTGCACTCCTGCAGCATTGCAGCGTAACACAGCCCCATAGTGGTCTCTAAATTTCTATTGGCTTCTGCCAGCTGTTCCTCCAGGCATCTCCATGCTGGGCTTCTTTTGCAGCCCGTGGTTGGGTTGCTATGGCGATGGCTGTCCAGCAAGTGAACTGGGCACAGGGAAGGCTAGGGAGCAAGGTTGTGCGTGCAGAGTTCTTTGAGCCCGTGGCGTTTCCCCTCGCTCACCTCCCTCTCCCTCTCCATTTCCCGTATCCCTTGTTTCAGAGGGGAAAGATAAAATTGGCTGTGACCTTCTGCTCAACCCTCCCGGGAGCTCTGATCAGGAGGAAGATGAGCAGGACTCGGACCACCTCATGTTTGAGTTCTCCGACAAGCCGCTGCTCCCCTGCTACAACCTGGAAGTGTCTGTCTCCCGGGGGTGAGTAATGGCGGCATCCCCTTGTTGGGAGAGCTTGGGGAGCTTGTGAGAACGGGCCAAATTGTACCACCCTACTACTCCCTGGGAGAAAGAGGAGCCCTGAAGTCCGAAGGCCAGTATCATTGGAAGGTGGTGAGCAGGAGGGACGGAAGGACGGGTCTGTTGCGGACAACAGCTTTTGAGAGCCTTGGAGAAAGGATGAGCGAGACATGCATTTGCTTGCAAGTCAACTTTCCCTTTCCTTCTCCAGCTCACACAGGCACAGCAAGGTTTTGCCAGCTGCTCCAGGAGGGGAGGGGCACTCAGAGAGCCTGCTGTGACAAATGAGAGACTGGCAAAGCATGACAAAATAACAGGCTTTGTGGTGGTGGTGGGGTACGTGATGCCTATTCTGCATATTAAGCGTGGAAGTGGTGGGAGCTCTGTGGTTCCAAAAGGACAGGGGTGTGGGCAGGTAGGGTCGTGGCCAAGATCCTGCATCTACAAAAGCACCATTCCAAACTGCTGGTGCTGCAGTCGTTACAATGCTGTGACCCAGATAAAGGATGCAAAGGAAGCAGATCTCAGAATGTCTTGTGCTTTTGCATCATTGGTTCTGATTTTTATTAGGCAGAAGCTGGGGGAGGGGTGGGGGAGGGCCGCACAGCAGAGAAACAAGCTACCCAGAAGTCCTACTACCTGACCCAAGTCCTGCCTCCCTCTGCCCAGCCAACTGCTGAGATGTCAGTAGGGACAGGCTGCAGTGTATTCAAGCATAATGGGCACCCATGAGGGTTAGAAGCATGGTCTTCAAAAACAAAGCACTACCATCCTTTTCACTTACTTGCACCAGGCAGTTGTGGCCCTGGGTGATGTCAGGTGGGTGCTAACAGCTGGGGAGAGAGGTTGCGTGGCGTTGCAGCGCGAGCACTTTTTAAATAAAAACACTCGAACAGTGTTTCCCAAACTTGGCCCTCCAGCTGTTTTCAGACCACAACTCACATCATCCCTAGCTAGCAGGACCAGTGCTCAGGGATGATGGGAATCATAGCCCCAAAACAGCTGCATACCCATGTTTGGCACTAGAAGAGAGGGCAGTTGCTCTGAGTACATTAGGGATGGGGAACATGTGGCCCTTCCAGATGTCATTGAGCTCCAACTCCTGTTGGCCCCAGCCAGTTTGGCCAGTGGGCAGGATAATGGCAGTTGCGATCCAGCAACATATGGGGAAAATGGGCTTCCGTCAAGATGGGTTGGTGTCGCTTATGGGTAGGTTTCAACCCTTGCATTTCAGCTTTTAGAACATTGACTGTGGGGGTGGGAGGGTGAGGGTGAAATGGAGAAGAGGGGAGGGATGGGCACAGAGAGCATGTCCCTACTGACCGCCGCGCTTCTCCCCTTTGCCCAGGCCCTGCAACTGGTTCTTCTTCTCGGACGTGCTGAAGCGGCTGAAGCTCTCGTCCCGCATCTTTCAGGCCCGCTTCCCACACTTCGAGGTGACCACCCTGCCCAAGGTGGAGTTCCAGCGCCAGGTGTCGTTGAGCCAGGTGCTGGCCCCGGAAGAAATCCAGGCGCACATGGCGCCCCCCTTGGCTCTGGGCGCTGCAGAGACGGTGGAGCTGGTGCGCCACGAGCCAGAGCTGGCTCGGCTGCTGGGCTCAGAGGTGATGTTGGAGGCCTGGAGCAGCTGACGGGGGGCTGGGCATTCCCCTCTGTCAGCGTCGGACTGCACTGCGAGGCAATAATCTGGACCAAGGAGAGGTGGCCTTCTCGCGGGCAGGGCTTCTGTCTGCCTGGTCCTCCCTGACGAACTGCAACGGGTGCTCACCGCCTGCCCTCCTACCTTCCCACCCACCCCGGGGGTAGGAAGCTGCCGTCCCCTGTGCCCTGGACTCTGCACTCGTTCACCTGCTGCAGGGCCTCGGTGGTTCGGAAGCCTCTCCATGGAACTGCATCTCTTTCCCCACCCCCAAGCTCTACCAGAGTATTTATTTAAATTAGTATTTAATTTGTGGTGTTCTTTTTCTTTTTTGTTCTTGCTAAGTCTGTATCACTGTGATTCGGGGGAGGGGGGGTGAGTGGAGAGACAGGGGACAACTTCCTGCAGCCACCATCGCCTCTGGGATTCCCCTGAGTGACTAAGCTGGGGGTTCCTTTCTCCTCTCCTCCACGAAATAGCGAGAGGGAGGCTATTGTTTCTTCTCTCTGTTTTAGAGACACCCAGCTATAGTAGGAGCCAACCTTCAGCCTCCACAATAAAATATTTGAGGAGCCAGGGCCCCCCAGAGTTGAGGAGCATAACCATTCAGATGGTGTGCGGTCATCAGGTCTTGTGAGCAGCTAAGCAAGGCGACACCTGTCCCCCCCCAGTACTTTATTCAAGTTAGCACCCCTGGTTGGGTGCATTTCTCTCCCTGCCCTTTTTATCATATTATTTTGTTTCTTATGTCCAGCCAGCCACTTTTCGAAACAGAATTATTATACAGCCAAAGGCACCTGTTGGTCTCAGCTATTTTATTTGCCCCCCACTCCCTCCTTATAATTTCATCCTTGTTCAGTCAGTTCAGCTGGCAAGGCAGTGCGATCTTCAATGGGGTGGGGGCAGCACAGAGAGAGAGAGAGAGAGATGATCATTTGGAGGGTAGGGGGTGGGGGGGTACAGTTTTATTGTACAGGTGCTAACAAGGACTGGACAATCTCTTATTATTTTGGCTCTTCCCCTGCTCTGGGGAGGCTGTTTTGGGTGGTGACATTTTTGTTCTTTTGTGTTGTGTCCCCCCCCCTTCCCACTCGGGGAGCTGCATTTCCTTGCACAGCCCCAAAATCAGTTTTGCAAGCAGGCTGCCTCTACTGGCCCCCTTCCTTGGAAAAAGCAAACAGCGTTCCCTTCTCTCCGCCCCCATCTCTCTTTTCCACCAAGGCTTTGGGCCTTTGGGGCGTGTGCTGCAGCTGCTGCTTTTTCTTCTTCTTCTTCTGATTTGTTTTAAGCAACGCTTTGGTGTCAAAAACACTTATGTACAGAAAAACCTGCATCAGGGCCTCAGTCTCCTGCCTCGTCTTTTGGGTCCGGCCTCTCTTACTCCTGAAGCCTGGTGGGCAGGGCGGGGGGGGGGAGCAGCCACATCACAGAAGCACTTCAGCTCCGAGGGGAAAACAAGTGTTATCCATATGCCATAATGGCTGCCTCTTCCACCCATTTTTGGCAGTGAGCTGTGCAGACCAAAGAAGGCTGTTAACAACTTCCACTTGATGCTTACCTGTACAATAACAGCTGGCTTTTGAAAACAGTTTCTTGCCATCCCTCCCAGGACAAAGCAAGCTGTTGCTGGTTGGGGGAAGAGAGCGCTGGGCTCTTAGTCCCAGTACAGGCCAGTAAACCAAGATCAGCAAGGAAGGGAGATGGATTTTGGCACCGATACTGTTGTCCATCACCTAAACTGTTGAACACGAAGGCGTCTTGCAGGACAGTTTTAATTCAAGAGCCTGCATTGTGTTTTTCAAAGGTGCATCATTTAAGCGACTTGCATTTTCCTGACTGGAATTCCCATCCACTCACCCCTCTGCTAAAGCTGCTGTGATTCCAGTTGTGTAAAACGGGGTGTGAGGAAGTTGAAAGGGTCAGCCTCCACATACACTTTCTCTCCCAGCTCTATCCGAACCCAATGTTCTAATTTCTTTAAAGGAGGCAAGTGCTCTGTTCACACAGCTGGTTTTTTAGGACTTAGCCCCCTTTGCCTCCTCTTTAAATCAGGAGTGAGGAACGTGTGGCCCTCCAGATGTTGGGGAAACTCGGAACACCCAGCCAGCATGGGCAATGGCCAAGGACTCTTGAGAGTCACAGGTTCCCTATACTCACTTTGAACAGTACCAGAGTATAATTATCTGTTGCAGAAAAATCTTAAGGCACTTTGCTGGGTTATCCCTCACACCATTCACCTAAGGTGGGATTTGCTGCAGCAGCATCCTGTCTTTGCAAAAGTCTTCCCGGTGAGTGCTGCGCAAAGGGAAGGACTAGCTGCAGGCGGGGGGGGGGGGTGTGTCTGTTCAACTAGGAAGGTTTTGCCCAGGGACAGGAAACCTTTGGTTGCTGTGGGTGGACTTCAAGCACTTTCAGCCAACTTACCCAATGGTCAGGGATGATGGGAGTTTAAGTCTCAGCAGCAGCTAAGGTAGCCACAGGTGTTTCCTATCTCCGATCAGCTCCATCATAGCTTGGCTGTACACAAGGTTTCTGTTATTCCTGGGAGGAGGATTGGTTTGAAAAATCTCTTCTCTCTAGCTGGGATTATCTCCCACTTTGTCTTCAGCAGTAACTCAGCAGTTAGGTTGGCTTTCTAGTCAGGAGTGTTATGTGGAACGGTCGCCTCATTTCCCAGAGTCTGCTGGCATGGGCAAAGAACTGAGGGTGGGAAGTCAAGGCACTCTTCTTCGATGCAGGTATTGGGCAGAAGGCAATGCCTGGAGGAGAGAAGATGCTGCTCCAAACTGAACTGGGATGCACACACAATCCTTGTTGGGCACAGCTGTAGCTCCCAGGGGACAAATCTTGCCGTTTAATCTAGAAAAGCATCTATTGGGCTATTCACTAGAACAAGGAGGCATGGTCCCTACTCTGTAAGGCAGGGATAGGAAACTGGTAACCTGGCCATACTGCCCAGGGCTGATAGCAGCTGGGAGTCCAACATATGGCCAGTCACAGGTTCCCCATTTCTGTTGGAAGAAAGGATATGCATGCCAGATAAAAAAACTACCCAGTAACCTAATCATGGATGTGAGCCTCATTTAAATTTCTCCCTCCTAACTGCTTGGGATCCAAGCTGGGGCCTAGCATGAAGCTGTAGCCAATTATTATTACATGGTAGACTAGAATCCCCCAATTGTTTCTCATACAGAGCAGCTGACTGGATTGGGTGACTGCAAGGGTGGAGAGGGAATTCAAGGACGTCATGTGCCACCAGCAATGTGGAAGGAGGACACAAAAGATAAACCACTCCCCATGCCCCGTATCAGCCAATGAGCTGCAAAGGAGAACACTGGTGTGTGACAGGCTCAAAGAGGGCATGGCTTGTCCTCACTGGTCAGTCTTCAGTATATGACAGCAAACTATATATCTAGAGCCAGCTAAAAACAGGCCCTTGGGCAGCTGCAGTAGTTCGCCTGAGCTCATGAAAATCCTTCACATCATGTGGAACATTTCAAAACAAGGGTGTTGAACAGCAGGAGCTTAAGTGTAATCTTAAGAACTGAAATGTGAAATTGCTGATTGGCTACCAAAAGTATGCATCACCCTAAGATAAGCCTCTGTGCTTGAGGTCCTAAAGGTAACACCAATTTTTTTTAAAGGTAATTGGGGAGCTGCCATGAAATTACAGGCCAGTTAGCTTAACATCTCTACTGGAAAAGCTATTGCAGAGTATTATTAGAGGTAGAATTACCAAGTGTACAAAAGAGAGAGCCTTGCTGAAAAATAACTAGCACAGTGTGTACGTCTTTGCCTCCCATACCAGTTATTTTAAGAGCGTCAATAAGTATATCTGCAGAGGTGCTGTGGTAGATACTGTATTTTCAAAACGTTTTCATACAGTTCCTCACCAAAGACTAAAGAGTAAGCTTAGCAGTGATGAAATAAAGAGGATAAGGTCTTGTGGATCAGCAGCTGGTCAACAATAAGGAAGCAAAGGATAAGAATAAATGGGCTGTTCTCACAATGGAAGGCTGTAAGTAGAGCCCCCCTAGGATCAGTACTGGGACTTGAGCTTTGAACTATTATACTAATAAACTGGAGATGGGGATGAACAGGAAGATGGCCAAGTTTACAAATGGCACCAAATTGATCAGGGTGGTAAGAACACAAAGGATGTTTCCAAACTGGGTGAATGGGCATTCAAATGGCAAATGCTATTCAGTGTAAGTAAGTGCAAAGTGATGTTCATTGAGGCAAAAAATCCTGGCTTCAACTGTACACTTAAAGGGGCCTGAACTAGTGATAGACTGACCAGAAAAAAGTTATTGGAGACATTCAATGGAAGCATCATCCAGTGTGCCACAGCTGTGGAGGTGAATACCATCTTATGGACCATTAAGAAAGGGATTGAAAACAACTGTCAATATTGCAACACTACTATACAAATCTGTGGTGATACCGCACTTTGAATAGTCTGTACAGATCTGGTCACTGTCCCTAAGAAATAACACTGTAGAACTGGAAAAAGGTTCAGAAAAAGGCAAGCAAAACGATCATGGGACTGGAACAAATCCCCTCTAACGAAAGGATACATTTGTAATGCTGGAAAAAACAGTGCATGTGGGAATGTGTTTACAATTTTATGCAGGATGTAAAGAAAGCGGGTTGGCATTTTCTTTCCTCTAATACTAGAACTGGGTCATCCAATGAAACTTAGAAGATTCAACATACAAATGTATGTATGCACCACATACTGAAACCATGAGATGTGCTGCCACACAATGCAGGCATGACTATGAATCTGGGTAGCTTTAAAGGGGATTCAGGCTGAGGATAAGACTTTGAATAGCTACAAGTACTCATTACTGTACTACTGCCAGTATTGGGGGCAAGTTTGTCCAAATAACATTTGCTAGGAATCAAAAGTTGGGGAAAGCATGGGCTTCCCAAGGCCACTGTGAGAATGCTAGAGGAGATGGTCTTTGGGGCATCTTACCATTTTAAGGCAGACATGGCCAAACTTGGCCCTCCAGCTGTTTTGGGACTACAACTCCCATCATCCCTGACCATTGGTCCTGTTAGGTATGCCTGATTTAAGGCAACTGCATCATTTAAGTCTCCACTGTAATAGCCTAGGGCAGAGGAGTCCTCTTTCCCTGATTGCTTCATCCCATCCAGGTGCAATTCTAGCTGGATCAGGATCTAGTGGTAATTCACTGGGTGTCTTGGTGTAGAACAGAAAGGCTCTCTCATACCCAACTGCTTTAACAATAGCAATGGCATCCCCCACCCCAAAAAAATTAGGCAGCTGAAATGAAGAAAGCTTGGAGGAAAAGCAGGAGTGTATTTTGGAGTGAAAAGGACTCTGAAGCCTGGTCCCCTGTCATTTTTCAACTCCAGGCCTCTAAATCAAGGGTGGCTAGGTTAATGCTCTCCAGCTACTGCTGAACTGCAACTTCCATCAGCAGCACCAGTGGTCCAGGATGATTCACCACATTTGGGAGCACACATTAGCCATTTGTGCTCTAAATCAGTTTCTGAGAGACAGAGGAAAGGAAGAAAGAACTGCAGGTTCCACAGTTAGCTCTACCATAAATCACAAGAGAGAAATCCATAGCTCTCTGGCTGTTGTTCCCTGACTATGCTGTCTGTGGCTTGATGGGTATGAAGTCCAGCAACTGGTTCCCCAGTCCTGCCATCAAACCCACTAGTAAACACTTCCTTCTGCACAGTATCACCTGCACGTTTGAGTCAGGAATCAGCTGAAATCCAAAGTGGCAGGAAGTCAGTCATAAACACCAGGTATTGTTTCCCCAATATAATATATCCTCTTTTAATGGTGGTTATTAAGTAACAGAGGGCACAAGAAGGGGACGACAGAGGACAAGATGGTTAGAGAGCGTTCTCGAAGCTACAAACATGAGTTTGACCAAACTGCGGGAGGCAGTGGAAGATAGGAGTGCCTGGCGTGCTCTGGTCCAGGGGGTCACAAAGAGTCGGACACGACTAAACAACTAAACAACAACAAATTAAGTAACAGGTTACACCTGCTTGCTTCGGCACCAAAGTTCTCCAGATTACTTCACCCTGTTTTAAAGTGCTATAAGATAGATTCAACACCAATTTACTTGGCAGTTTATCTGGCAAGGGAAACTTGTTGCATGCCATCAGCAGCAAAACCAAACTGCTCCTTATATTTGGGGGGGGGTCAAGAAAAGGAACATGAAAACCCTCAACCTGAAAATAACTCCTTTTGTCTCTACCCAAGAAGCTCCCCTTCAGCTTTTGAGAAGAGAAGGTGTTACCCTCTTGCAGTTACGAGGCAAAGGGATTTCCCTGAGTCTCTCGAGTGTT